GTTAAATAACATTTTTATTTTTATTTTTAACATTTACATTAGATATTGAAACGATTGGAGTGTAGAAGATTTTATCACTTAGTTCCTCTAATGAGATAATGAATTAGGAACTTTTGAACTGACGATTAAACTTGCCTTAGATTATCGTTCGATGAGTTTTCATAAAAAAATTTTACAAATATTAGTTTCGCCTTCACTCAAAAAAGCATAAAGTTGATTTTAACTTTTGAATTTTTCAGTATCTTATTCTTTTGAATAACAAATAGGTCTAACACAAGTTTTTCAAAAAAAAGACAATAAACGACATAAAATGATGAGAGTCAAACTATTAGCCTCATCAAACCTTTCTACTGGCACATTATAAGATATATCTCCATGAATTTTAACTATCTAGTGCCCAATTATTCTAATTTCATTTAAGTCTCAGAAGAAATTTGTTGGCATATATAATGGAAACGATACGATAGCGACTATGAATACATGAAAGTTTATATATCCAACGAAGAAGTTCTAGTCTATATGCATAAGCTATATGATTATGGATAAACTAAACATGCACACTCATATCTTTGATCGATATGTTTACATCATGAACAGGACTTCATGGAAAGACCTTATCGAAGTATTCAAGCATAGGCTCTTCCACTTTTGTGTATCCATCCCATTGATAATTGATAGATGGTTGAAAAATGAATGTCTTGTCTATTCAAGAAAGATTTACTTATCTCAATGTTCTATATTTAATCGATCACTGATGTTATTGTTTAGGCACGACGATAACTAATTCAATATCGATCAGCTTACGAATTATTTGAGACATCCATATGTTCTGAGTTTATTCTGTTGTATGAAAACCATGCGAATATATTGAATAATGCATAATTAAGATTGCTTGCAGTTATTTAGTACCTTCCCATCAGATGTTAACACATGATCTCACGTATTGATAGAAAATATGTACCAGAATCGCTTGTAAACATTAAACTCTAATAAGCCAAAACACATGAAATCGTTGTTGTTCTTATTATGCTTTTTGACCTTATTATTGGCTCGAAATATCGGGCGAAATGTTTCAGCTGTGCGACATAGCTAACCAAGAAGGATTATTTCGATTGTGGTTATTGTCATCAGAAAGGTTGTTATTTTTAGAATTCCAAGAAAATCTGCTAATGCATCTTCTCATACATATCATATACTTATTAGTTAGATCCTTGATAAATATTGAAACATATCTAAATAGTCTGAATTCTATCGATGTGCATGGAACAACTTTCGAATTCTATATCATCGATGAACATTACTGTATGGATAATTCTAGACTAGTTGAACTCCTCCTTTGCTAACGGTCGCATATGTTCAATAATAGACTTATCGGTTGACATCTCTCTATTATAAAGTGTCTGAACAACTTGCTAAACAGTGGCGTGTAAATGTTTTATTGGACAAAAAAGTTTTTGAGAGATAAAGTATGACGAACGACACTATCATTGCTTTTGGCAATCCTGTTTTTCAACATCGATCATCGCTTGACAACATATTTTCTTTACTGTATGATAAAGAGCAATATAACTTTGAGAATGTGCTTTTCTCAAACGCATAATTCGTAACAAATTGAAAATACTGCTGTATTGTATATTTCACTGTAACATATGAGTTCCTTTTCCATCAAACTACCATTAATGCAAAGTTTGTCAACATAAACGAACACTAATCCAAATATTAATAAGTAATTGAAATTCGAAAGTTTCGAATTTCAATCACTTATTAAGATTTGGCGTATTCTAAAGGAATATATGTAGATCAAAATCCTTTGAAAATTCATAGATTTATTTTAAAAATCTTGTCAAGTTAAAAGAAAACAGAGTTTTGTATTCAATCCATTCGTCTCTCTACGACGTTGTTACTACTGAAATTGTTTGTATCATTGAATATTAAACAGATTTCTATGTCGGCTTTAAATTGTATGTGTCGATCAACGCTTGATCAAAGCGGAAAAGTTTTGCAGTTGAATAACCACAACTACCGTATTCGAAGCCAACAATAGGCTGACCATTAAAAAATGAATTATCCAAAGTAAAATCGAGATAGCCTAACGAACGAATAGATAACCAACACATGACAAAAAGAAATAATGCTCACCTAAATATTGTTGAGTCGGATCACTGACAGAAAATTTTCCATCGATCGGCTTTTTACCTTCTGATAAAACGGATTCGATGACAATACCTAATCTTGAATCCATCGGATCTTGAAGAGGACCTAAGCACATTAATCGATTATCATAAGATATTTCTACATCGCAAATTCACAATGAACATACCAAGTGAATTATCTCCTCGTTCGTTAATAAAAACACGGATAATACCAGGCAAAAATTCAATCTTTTCTACTCTACAATAATACTCTTTGTTGAAGTCACATATACGTTGGATAAAATATTTGTCCGACAATACCAACATCGTAGATCTTTAAACAAAAAATATATACGAATAGGAGTCTGGGAATGCATGAAAATCAGAAAATCCGATTGATTCAGATATCGTCGTTATTATCTGCTTCTCATACATAGATTATCGTTTCTCATTTGAATGCATCATCAAAAAGAGAAAATATGAATCGGTCATTGAGTGATTTGAGAGTTCTAACAACATTATTCGGAGTAGCAATACAAAACTCATGTATATCAACGAATTTGATGAAATCTATTTTGAAAAAATCGGTTAACGAAAGAATATCTGATGTATGACAAAGCTACGTTGCTTAGGCAAGTTTATTAAAAATCAGAAAGAGATTTCGCGCTACGTGAACAGTTGGCTGTCTTCATCTGCAGTGCTCCCTAGATCATAATGTTATCATCAGAACTATGTACAAACAGAAGAAAAAATGAAAAAAAGTAGCCACGTTTCGGTCACTCCCGCAATTCTTGCCTATCAAAAGAAAGTGATCGAAAAATGACCTATCAAAAACCAGTCAATTTTCAATAAATCGTTATGCTTACATGGAAAAAACTCTTTTTTTGCTTTTTATGTCGGTGTCCACATATAAACTGTATTGCTTCTCACTAGGGAGAGCAAACTGAATCTGTTTGTTTCGTGAGTTTGATCTCGATCTTGGATATTACTTTAAGAACAAATATGTAAAACGATATTATGTGTCAATAATTTTATATGTCAAGGTTCCTAAGAAGATCACATTCTCAGTCAATCTTTCATTCTGCTCTTTTTTGAAAAAGGGCCCGTAATCACCAAAATAGAAAACATTTGATTGTGGTAACTGGAACTGTCTTTTCGAACTTTCGTTCTTGTCCAATACATTTCTAGCTACTTCCTACCTGATCACACAACCTTTAAAAATGCATGTAAACGAACAAAAAAATGAAGCAAATTGTCATTTTTTGCTTTCAATAGCGTTTTCTTCCTATGAGCAGAAAAGTACAGAAAAGACGCTCGCAAAAAACATTGATTCCATAGATCGAAGTTTATTGTCCCATTTTCAGCTTGTTATTAAATAAAGAACATCATTGGAAATTCAGACAAAGGCTTAAACAATCGGCTTTAAGTGTGTTTTCATGTGTGTAGAGAAAATTGTCTTGATAACGCCAAAACAATATGAATTTTCAGTTTTTTACAAGCCTCCTTCTTAAATAATCAAAAACGCATACAAAGTTAAAACTGCTAGTAGTAAAATGGGATGTGGTCTCAAACAAAGACTAACGCGTCATGGAGACATATTTTACATGTGTGCGCGAATAGAGATAGTACTTTATTTTTATTGTACTTTGAAGAAGTAAAATAGAACATGTAATATCCTACAGTTGAAATGTGAAAACTAAGATAGACCAAAGTGAATAAACAACATATTTCATGCACTTATAAAGAATTGACATTTTTCAACTTAACTGTACTTTCTGTTCACTTGTTTTGTGATGAAATGATATTGAAAAAGAGTTGTTATATTTTGAAGTAAGGAAATGACCAAAAATATGTACTACAATATTTTTTTCTGCTGTATGTACCCTAACGATGCTGTACTTTTTTTTTTTATTAAAGTTAGTATAGGTTACATTACCTGTTAAAATAGAGATAAAGTGTCATTCCTATGTGAAAATACAAAAGTCATCTATTTTTTGGGTCTCAACAAGACGTTCTTTGTAATACTCGTGAAGATGTGCTCAAAGTCAATCATTTGAGCATTAATGCAAATGTTTGATTGACTTCTCTACTTGTTAATTGAAAAAGAAAACGACAAAATGCCGTGAAAACTGACTATTTTTGAGTGCTTGTTTTTATCGTTTATTTTTCACTTATAAATGAGAACCGTGATTGGTCGGCAAAAAAAACTACTATTTTTTTCTGCGTTTGTGCACTTGTTTTTTATGTTGTGCAATTGCCTGACTAACGTATTCGTTTCTATTTCATTTTAACGTCCACAAATGTGACTTGTTATGCATGGATGATTGTTAGAAATGCGTTATAAAACCATGTTTTACTGGCAACACGATTTCTTGAAGATAGATTTTTCTTCAGTAGCAATTCAAATAAGATTTGTGATATAAAATCAATTGCATTTCTATGATAGTAGGAGATCGCACTTGTGATCGAAAAACTAATCACTCTTTGTGTCTTTGCCTTTTTCACACGCTGATGAAGATCGAACGACTGACTGATTATTTGCATTGTCTTCGTTTCAATTATAATAGCTGTTTTGTTCATGTAATATTTTGAGGGCGTGGATCTTGAGTGATGAGAAGGTTCTCGTCCACACCCACGCCCTGCTGTACTTTATGTATTAAAACTAAAATAAAACAGTGTATCAGCATATTTTATCTTGATTTTCATTCATCAAAATCCGAAAAAACAAGTTGATTTTGGTTAAGCGATTTTGTTTTTGATTAAGCATCGCGCAAAGAGAAAAAAATACAGATGTGAATGTGTATTTGATATGATTATAAATTGTCGCTGCTATTATTATTCACACATCTACTGCTAATCACTTTAATAATGCGTCTTCTTGCAATACTCTTACTTGTAGTACTCTCATGTTTTAGTGCTGAAGCACTCAAAAAACGAGAGGTTCAACTGGCTCATGCTGGTAAGTTCGTAAGAATTTTAACAGAAAATACAAATTTATTTCTATTATAGGCTATTGTCCAATGCATATGATGATATGTGCCGTTTATTGTCCACCTAATCTTAATTTAATACTTTCAAGACAAATCAATGGTTGTACAAGAGATAGTGAATGCGCTGGTGATGAAAAATGCTGTAGACCAGCTTGTGGATGCACCAACAGATGCACTAAAGCTTTAGATAAGCCAGGATTTCAAAAATTTCTTTGAAAACAAATTATTTTCTCTTTATCTGGGTTAATGTATTATGACACAATAAAATCCTGTGGTTTCCAATGGATTGTTTCGATCTGAACATTTGAATGAACAAATTAGTTATTAATTGAGCCGTATAAAATACTTATTTAATACAGAACAGTCAAGAAGCATGAGAAATTCAGAAATTTAAAGATTCAAAGCATTATATGATTACTAATTTCCAAAGAATTGTCTTGATTATTCAGAATTTGTAACGACTTGATTCTGTTGTCATAGTTCAATCAATTAAAATCAAAATTCAAGAAATTACAGACCATTCTTTTTGAGAAGAATCCATAATTAGAAAAAAAATATTGCTCATTTTTCACATATAATACTTCCATATTAACAAAAATTCGTGAGAATGTTACTGCGATGAAAACCTACTAATCAATTAGACTTGTTAGTTACGATATATTGCATATTTATTGATACAAATTTGCTGTATTCAAGGAAATATATAAAGTTCAATAAAACATCATTATAAATTAGCTCCTCTCAAAAAGTTTGATAGTGAAGAATCATTTAATAAAAATTCACATCGGTAGATATATAGAAAGGCTACTAGTTTTATTCATCATATATCAACTACTACATTGATTAGATAACGATTTATCATAAACAAACATGAGAGAATGAATAGTTGAAATTATTCTATAATAGTTAGAAAACTGCTTGGAAATAGAATTTATTTCGAAAAAGAAAACAAAAACCAACATTCTACATTTAGACAATAACAATATGTCACTGGACGAACAATTTGTATGACACTTGAAGAGCTTGAAGGTACTAGAATATAATCATATTATTTTATGTGTCTACTCTACAAAAACTGTTCTTCTAATTTCATTCGAATACACGGTTTATATACAGAAAATACAAATTCGTGTTTTCTTTTGAAATATAGTATCGTTGTTCCATCGAAAGATAAAATGTTTATTTTACGTGAAATGATACACGTTCAATATCATTTGTAATTTCAATAAAATCAGGATGTGATAAAGATAACTTAAGTTTACGAATATGATATGCTTTTTCATAATTTATTTTTGCTTCAATAAAATTCTTTTTAGCTTCATAAGCAGCACCTATATTCTTGAGCACTCTTGCAATTGAAGGATGTCGAGGAGTAAGAGATTTTTTAAAAATTTCATACGATAATTGATATTTTTCTAATGCTTGATCATATTCATGACAATAATAATGTATATTACCAAGATTATTGTATGTATTACCTAAACACGGATGTCCATCAGGAAGTATTTTCTGTTTAATATTCAATGCTTTCATAAGATAGTGCAATGCTTTAGAAAAATTTTTCTGTTGTAGATAGATTATGCCTAAATTATTGTAACACCAAGCTATATTTTCATGATCATCAGTGAATGTTTCTTTAAAAATATCTAATGCTTTTTCAAATGATTCTAATGCTAATTTGATTTCACCTGTTTTTTGATAAACTTCACCAATGCTATTATAAATGTATGCAATATGAGAATTATTTGATTTTGATTTTTCTAGAATTTCAAGAGATTTTCTAAGATGATCTAAACTTGAATTATAATCTCCTTTTTCAAATAATACTTTTCCAAGTGCATGATAACATTTATAAAGATGTTTATGTTGAGAAGACATTTGTTGTAATAACCGACGTAAATATTTCTCAGCATCATCAAAATTAGCCATATCAATAAGAACACTTCCGAATAAAGTTAATCGAGTATTATTAATACCATATTGATTATTCATATGATAAAAGATTTTTTGTAAATCACAATCATTTTCACTACATAAATTCATTTGAATATGCCATATATTACTATCATCATGAGAAATATCTATCACACGAAAGACTGATCCTAACATCATTAATATTTCTTCTTCTTCAGGAAATATACTAATTTTTGAAAGATCAACAAATGGTTTTATACCATCTTGACGAGGATCAGCATCAATTTCGAATAATACTTTTTGCAACATATTATCATTATTTGATGAATCAAGATACATAAGAGCCAATTTACGATTAAATGTTGTTGAAAGAAGTGAATTCACCGAAATTAATTTATCTTTTGAATCTTTCAATAAATATAATTCTTCAATAGACATTAACTGACCTCGATAGACATGAATAGGTAATGAATATCGATGTTGTTTAAGTTCTTGTTCAAGATCACGAATATAAAAACCAAAGAGATAGAGTAGATCAATATTCTGAACACGAAGTGCTTTATTTAATAAACGATAAAGAAATGTTTCTCTCGTATACCACCATAATGCATATTCTGGTGCGTATTCTTTTTCGAATTCATTTACATACTGTAATTGTGCTTTGTTATCTTTGTAAACTTTTCGACATTCTGAAATAAATTCATTTTTATCTGTTGTAGTAGTTTTCATTTTAAGAAGACAAGCAACTAGTAATTGAGATTGAACAAATTGACCATCAATTTCAGTTGTAGATTTTTCAGAACTTTTGTTTAAACTAGAAAAACTAATTGATATCGGTTCATCGGATTTATCTTGTTTTCTTCTTGAGTAATCAGTTCGTAGTCTATTCATCACATCATCGAATTGATGATAGACATCTTTTATCTAATATCAAACAGAAATTCGATCGGCAATAGAATTATCAGAAAACAAGAATTACCTTCTCATATTGTTTAATCCATTGATGATGACATTGTTCATTTTTACATAGTATATAAATTGAAAAAAGTTGTGGAAGATTATGAATTTCAGGTATTAATTGTTGACCAAAATAATCACTAACAATTAAGATAACTCGATGATGTGACGACACTGAGTATATATAGGTTTTACATGCATCCAGTTTTTCGTATATTTGTAAATACTTAATCGATGATTGAATTCTTTTTTGAGTATCTATATTGTTCTGAGAATTAATTGAAGCATCAAGCCATACAATAGAATATCTTCCGAAATTATTATTGTTCTGTATAGAAGACATTGTTTCATGAGATAAAGATGAGTCAGGAACGGTTATCATGGATTCAACTTTTCTTTTAAGAAGTACATATAATGCAAGAAATTAAAATATATAACTTAGAAAATTTTTTAAAAGATAGTCAGTAATTCGTGAGAATATAATACTCATTCGTTTAGAAAAAAAACGCTTAACAATACACAAAGCTGTACATATTCAAACGAAATAGATAATATATTTTTTTCACAATGATGAAGAACATATTTTGACGTATAAATCGATACTGTTCTCGTTTATTTGTATTCTTATTTTCGATGTGTAAATTATTCAAACATGTTTGATTAGATATACTCGACTTCTTCTCAAATACTTGTATTTAAAGCTTTCTAAATAATTGTTAAAATCTATCAATTTAGAAAATTTCAATTTATGGAGTTATGATAGATATGCTAAGAAATATCTTGTACAGATACTGTTTTAGACATCACTATTCGATTGACAATTATATCGTTGTAACTGAGCGAATTCGATATAACATCATATAAATTCAAAATTAATTAGATCTCTTTATAAAATCTTACGAAGTCTTATAGAATATTAAGACTTATGAGAAGAGTCCTCAATAGATTAATGGCTTGTGAATCAAGACCTTATACATCATGTAAACCTTAACGAGCGATGAATATTTTGAAACGAATTCGAAACTTTAATTTATTGGTGCTGAAAAATTGCATTTTTACAACATTTTGTGGAACTTACATGTATTTTTCGAAGGAAAATAGTGAGTGTAAATCTTAAGTCGTAATATTTGGGTTCTCCCTCGTCATCCTGCTTCGGACTTTAGTAATCGAAGGAGAATGTTCAAGTGTAAATGAGTATCAGTTCTTGTGACGATTTTAGACAGAAGAAGTATTAGCGCTGATGGAACTACGGTTTATTATGTTTCTTCATATGAATAGCCGTATCGTTTACATACAAAGCATAAGCTTATATACTCGACCATCAGAGAAGAGAAAACGATATAGAAGAGAAGGATAATAAGGAAAGAAGGGAACAGTACTAAGACAGGGACAAAGTACAAAATGATGTGCAAGGTAAGGACAAACAGATAAGTACAATATGTAAGATGAGAAGAAATAGTAAGGAAAGGACAAACATCATGTATACAATGCACTTGAACAGAAGTTTTACACTATCAGATGGAATTTGGACGTTCTCCGTATAGAACGTCACAGTTCTTCTAGTGATCAAGGACAGTAGACACCAGATGCCTTTCCTATAGATCGTTAAGGGACAGAAAATGACCCTTAATAGGATTAAAAACAAAGCTTAACACATTCGATCCGATGTAGCCCACCGGTGGGCTACGATATAGTTTAACGAGAAACTGTATAGAAAAGCATTTTCTTTTGCTTTTTTCTTAAGTAGGAGGCTAAATATAAGGAGTCAACTGTGCTGCCTTTAGTACTTTATTTGAGTTCTTTACTCCATAGCACAATGCTTATCATTAAAACACTCAAGACAAAAAAATTTATCACAGTCAGAACAGAAAGTTTTTACTTTCTTTGCTGCCGCACGGCTGGCCTCTCTTGACTGTTGGACTCGTCCCTTCGCATAGCAGCCAGTGCATCGTCCGCCGACATTGCGTATAGATCCTTCTTTTTCTTCGGGCTTGTGATCAGCGAGTTTGTATGCTTCGTATAATATGAAAAAGAACGAAAAAGTAACTTGAGCGATTATTCAGTTGGTCAGAAAAAAATTACTCATTATGTAGTGATATAAAGAAAAGAATGACAAATAATCAGCAGAAGATAACGAAAATATCATTAAATACATTTATTAGTAGTTAACTGTCCATGAAAATGAACATCTCAAAAAAAATTTCTAAGAAAATCGAATCGGGTCGAATGTATTAAACTAGTCTAGAAAGTTTCAGAATGCTAAAAAACCTTCGTTGCAATTTAAATGTCTAAAATACATTTATGAATGTTCTCAATAGCATGGTTTCTGCATTTTGCATACATAA